CTCAAAGCAGTATTGTATAGAAACAGGTGATTGATATTACAAATACAATTTGGATAGCAGTGTAGTGCAGTATACATTTTTAGCCAATCTGTCTGTGTTTCTTTTAGCACTTCAGAGGATAAGTAGATATTTACAAGTTCAACTGAAAACTAATGTCCCAACTGAGTAACTCACAAAGAAATTTAAAAACAGTAACTACTTAAATTACATTCCAGATCATAAAAGGGGGGGGGGTATACACTCTCGGATGCACTCATAAACTAATAATTCTATTAGTTTGTTTTAATTTCTATAATTTTGAGTTCATCCAAAGAGAACATTATTAACACCTTTCATAGCTCACACAGAAATTTGAAAACAGTAACTGCTTAAATTACATTCCAAATCATAAAAGGGGAGTAGTACACTCTCGACCGCACTCATGAACTAACAATACTATTCGTTTGTTGTAAATTCTATCATTTTGAGTTCATCCAAGAGGTGAAACATTATTAACACCTTTCATAGCTCACACTGAAAGTTGAACCAAGTAACTGTTTAAAGTACATTCCAGGTCATAAAAGGGGCAGTAATACTACGAACTGATGCTCAATATTGTATGCAAACATATGCGTATTTCCTAATGCACCATGAAACCCACAAACTGTATCGCGTGGATAGCTGCTTAATAAGTACCCAGTGATCTGTTGACTGTTGAGTATTTCTGCAACATCTCGTGATCGTCTGCACTGCATGTTGCGTCATCGTGGACCAGTTGTAGTGGCCCGAGGTGACAGTTAATGTGGGGCTCTTATCACTGTTTGATTGGCTGATAGCTATCACTCCATGACATAACACAGCTGTTCACTTCTACCTTTGTGGTAATGTCACCGTGATAATGAGATAAGAGGAATGCTGTTTCTAACAATAGAGGTTCAGTGAATTCACTAATATGAGTTGTATTTTTTAAAGAATTTGGACCGGTATTGTTGATTAGTATGCTTCTAGTGTCTAGTGGCCGTCCAGTGGTCGAAAACTCGATCAAAAATATTTAATGTACATACGTCTCTATTTTAACCTCCCGCTGTAAATAAAACATGTGATTTGCAATTTCTTCCATTTGTTTTGAATTTCTGTTTATATTTTGTTGTTATTTCATCACCAGCATGGCGACCCATAATGCCCATGTAAACTTTTTTTCAATTTCAAATTAATTTTTTGTGTTTATTGGTGAGCCTATTTTAATTTATAAATGGGATCTGCACATCTACAGGAAAATCTTTCTAAAAGTATGCGTAGATTTTCCCTGCCATGCACACGAGCTGAGAAAAAAGGTTTTAAAGAAACACGCTTGCCTATTAATATAGTAAAGATATTCCGACAAAAAAGCAGCTGACCAAAGTTCAATCACCAGCTGGATTATTCATTCATCGACGACGACCCTTTGTGTAGAGTTAATGGAAGTAAATTTATATCTCGCTCTTCCTATTTTATTACAATTAAGGGCAATCCGGATGCATTATGAGAAATAGTTTAAGGGTGAAATGCAACCCTTAAGCTTAAAATAACTTACTTATTTTAAATCATGTTTTGTTCTTTGTCGATACACTGTTCGGTAAAAAAAATAATTTATTCATTGGTTGGTTGGCCTTGCGCGGTTTTCAGATGTTTAGTTGAGTTATGTTAAGTCTAAAAAGTTTTAAATTAAAATGTAAGTGAATACCATAAACAAAAGCGTTTATTAGTTTTGATAATCAGCACAATTAAACTTATGCCAGAACTCTAGCTTTTCCAAAACTTGTTTCAGAATTTGAAAATAGGAAAGCATAGTTTCATTTGCCTATTTCAAGCTTAACGTTGGCTTTTCAAAAGAAAAATACTGAATGTCCGAGAATATTTTTAAATCCAATATTTCCTCACATATCTAATAAAATCCATTATTCAGTATCAAAGTTTGCTCTCAATGTCCATGACGTGTTGATAAATTACATTTGACGGAACTGGGATGTTTTATAAAACTTATAGACGCAGTGTTTTATAATGTTTCTTTCTGATTACATCTTTAATCAATCGCCTATATTTTTATTGATCAGTATGGAAAGAGATGACGAGAAAAATATTGAGGATTAGGTTTGGTAAAGAAATTTGATAATACATTTTAAACCAATAAATTAATCGATTTGTAAAACTGGTATTTAGTTAGAGTTGTAATAAAAAAAAAACTGTTTCGTTTCATGGAGAGTATTAATCGATTGATGAGCTGTGTGTTGGGATCCAAATCATCAAGTTTTTCTCGGATTGTGTGGGTTTGCATAACAAATTTTGATATGAAATGTTTAAAAAGATAACCACATAGGATTTTTTCATTTAAAGGTATTTATGGATACTTGTAAAACCACTTAACATAGTTTTAAATTACAAACCATTTATTTATAGAACTCAAAATGTTAGGTAATATTGCCATCGTAAATGTAATAGAATGAAAATGGAATGGAATTTACGTTAAGTAGTAAAAGGGCACTTTGAAGAAATATTTACTCTAATACAGAAATACTTACCTCAGTTAATTGGTATTTAACTGAAGCCAATAAACAAAAAATATAAAACACTAATTATTTATTTGTTTCTTTATCCACTCAACAGCACGTTTGTGATCTTGCACAGAAAAAATAATGTAGCTACAACTAGAACTATTGCAAATAAATATTATACTAAAACACGTAGTGTAATGGGTTGGTTATTGTGTTTGTGGCTATTTTTTAATATTACAAAATAAATACTCTCAGCTTTCAAATTTCAGTAGTAATGCCCAAATTAGAGCGTTCAGAGTTCAGCTTAGTCAAATCAAATTTGAGAAGAAGGTGTTGATTATGTGTACACTACACAATCCAGGTGTTAAATCAGCTCATTCTGGTTTCGTGAGAAGAGGATAAATCAACAAAAATGTAGTATGATAAACCTAGTAAAAAATATTGAAGGCATCCCCGCCTGAAATTTATCTACAATGTTAAGTATAGCAACTAACTAAAGCAACCTTGATAAAAGTATTAAAATTGTTATTTTAAACATGAGCAACAATTTTCATTCATGTTTTTAGGATTTAGGTTAAATCCTAAAAACAGTTAGGACACTTAAATGTTAGGGTGGATGGTGTCTCTTCGGAGCCTCTCCCAAAGAACTGTGGAGTACCTCAAGGAAGTGTACTTGGGCCTCTGTTGTTCATTATTTACACTGCTGACATGGGTGAAGAATTATCTCACTGCTCACTGTTTTCGTATGCAGATGATTCGCAACTTCTCTTTTCTTTCAAGCCCACAGATAGCTTGCAAGCACAACAGTTGATAAACCATGATTTGATGAAAATTTCTCACTGGTCGAAGAACCATGGGCTGGCTTTGAATGTTGAGAAGTGCTTGTTATTACATTTCACTAATTCTCACAGCATGCATTCTTTAATTCACAAACACGATCTCAATGTAGTTCTGGAGAACATGATATTAAAGTCTACTGAGACAATTAAAGTTCTTGGTCTCACAATTGACGTGGAGTTAAAATTTTCAAAACAAGTAAAATCAATTGTTCAAAAGGTCATGACTTTGCTCAGGGTGTTTAATAGATTTAGGAAAATACTGGCAGAAGATGTAAAACTACAGATAGTGAATTCTTTGGTAATGCCTGTCATTAATTATGCTTTGCCTGCCTTTGGTTTCAGTCTGTCAATTGAACAAACTAATTTGATAAATCGTTTACAAAACAATGCTTTAAGATTTGTATATGACTTGAGAAAATTTGACCACATATCTTCCTTCAGAAAGCAAAGTGGGATGTTGCCTGTGCAGTCAGAATGTTTGTTAGAGACTGTGGCTATTGTTCATAGGGTCACCAACACTAGCAGACCGACTTATCTGAAAGATAAGTTGAAAAGTAGGAGAGATGTGAGAGATAGGAGTACAAGACAGGATGGCCTGCTGCACTTGCCTCGCGTCCAGTTGGAATATGGTAAAAAGGGATTTTCTTTTTTTGCTCCTCAGAAATACAACCAACTGCCAGAAAATGTAAAAAAACTTAGTTATAAAGCTTTTCGACTGAACTCCAAAAAATGTCTTTTGTAAATATAAGTTAAGGTATTGTTAGTTAATAAGTCATTTATTGGTATTGTAATATTTCTTTTGTTTGTATTGACTTGAGTAGTTTTGAAAAACAGTATTGTTACTGAAAACCGCTTTAAATAAAAGACGTTTTATTATTATTATTATTATTATTATTATGTTATAAGTAAATTAAAAACAACCCTGACTATTATGGCTTCCTACAATTTAATAGATCCTAATCCAGACCATTGGCCACATTTTGTCTCAATCCAAGTCTTTGCCGGCACTGATAGCTTGATTTCACTTTCGATATTTGTCCATAATCATTGTAGCTCGAGGCATATTAACACATTTGTGGTGTTTAACCTACCAACGGCCTGTTATCAAACGACGCAAGCACACTCTCGCAAAACGACGGCCATTGGCTGAATTACAATCGAGGTGATTGCACCTAATGTAGTTGATCAGTGACAGCCCCAATATCAGCCAAATGTTACATCCTGAATGAGCGATTTGGTTAATCTTACCTTGGTACATAGGTTTTTTTAAGCTAACACAATAACTAACTTCAACGATAAATTTACTTTGCCACTGCAACTGTCATCTCTACTTTATGAATTGAAACACATAAATTATCATTGTTCACATTATTTATGGAATATTATGTTTTCAGCTAATTCTGTAATTACATAGCAAGCAGTTACATTTCTGTAATTTACCTTGAGTATAATACTACCTCCCTTACTTTGTATACTTGTGCCATTGCTTATTGAGTTAGTATAAATACTATTTATTTTTATCCATAATTGTCTTTACCGTAAAAATTTACCATTGCATTATTTTACTCAGAATTTTTTCCAGCTTACAGTAAATTCATTGTTTTTAAATTGGGTCTAAATCTAAGAAGAAATTCCAATGAGAACTCACAAATAGAATAACAGATTTCTTTATTTAGTGATCATGTGGTGAAATAAATAACAGATGGGGTGTGAGTCCTGTGGTGTTGTCTAGTAGGAAGGTTTGTACTGGGGTTTGTACTCGGGCTGTCTGTAAGACTGCTCTCCGACCTCAAGCTTGACGTTCTGGTAGCTGGTGGCGCCGCTGGAGTAGTCGCTCTTGTAGGGCTTGTATGCAGGGGCAGGGGCGTAAGCGGGAGCAGGGGCGTAGGCGGGGGCTGGTTTGTAGGGGGCGGGGGCAGGTTTGTATGGAGCGGGGGCGGGTTTGTAAGCAGGTGCGCTGTACACGGGTGCGGGAGCGCTGTATGCAGGGGCAGGCTTGTAGGGTGCGGGGGCAGGTTTGTAGATAGGGGCGGGACCTCCGTGAGCGGGGGCCTTGTAGAAAGCGGAGGCCTTCTCGTTGTGGGGAGACTCGAAGAAGGGGGTGGCGGCGAAGGCGGTGGCAATAGCCAGGGACAAAACAATCTGGAAAAATACAAAACACTGTATTATGAATAAATATCAAGTTATTGTACAAAATTGTATAAGTTAAAAATAACAATACTATATCGTGTTTTTCAATCACATACTTTCAATCGAATGCAGTTATTTATTTAGGATCCATCCATTAATTAGAAGATTGCATTTGTATTGTTGGAAATAATTACAAAAAAGGAATTTACTTTGCGTAAGAAGAAGAGATCATTTCTACTAAATTTGAGAGGATAATAAGTAAGAGAATGAGTTCAACAGTTAGCCTTATTATTAATACCCCTGTAAATGTATAATTATTTTGTTAGGTATCACCACAAACTTATTCGTGATTTACAAATATTTAGACACCACCTATCTCTCATTGGGTAGACGATGTAGATCCGGTAATAAGGTATCCTCGTAATTACACTAAATCAACAATTGCTTCGTACTGTTTGCTTGATAAATGTTTTGTCACATGCACAAAACAATACAATTTTAGGTTATCCAAGCACTCATCAGAAGCAAAGTGTGGCATTTAACCAGACTAGACCACGGTTAAATGAAAAGAAAATTATAAAGACAGCACGGTTCACTTGTTTGTTCAAACCTTGACGAAGGGCTGAATTAAAGGTCAATTAAGAGGCAATGTAATTCAAGATTCAAATACCACATCTACTACTACTAGTAAGTACTAATATTTTGAAATGATTGGGCTTATACATTTTGGGTTTCGCAGACTATTGCTTGTGTTATGAAGACAAATTTTATTGTCCTGTAATAATTATCATGTGCCCCTTATTAATTATACGTTATATACTTATATACGTATTATTATTGTTACTTTATATACTTATTGTACGTATATACTTAAGATCCCCTTTATGATTTTTTTAAATCTAGTGGAGAACTATAGATTTTAATTTATCAAACTGTAATTTAAAAGGATGTAATATTTAGTACTACATGAATCAATGTACTTTAAAACTAGATTTCTCGATTCATAGGTTTGACTGTGTATTGGCTGTTGGACTCTGGGGTGTGTTGGTGTGTTGTACCGGCGAGAGGCCAATGTCAAAATTATGTAACCGGGTTCAGGTCAAGGTTCAGCTGGTTTACCTTGTATCAAGGTCTGATATCTATGTATACTATTAAACTATGAAAACTCCAACTAAATTTATCAAAATATATTGTAACTGTAAGCCGCTGATATACAGTTAATTGTTAATTAAAATGAAAATGTCGATTTATTCTTGATATAATAAAGTTTAATAATTAATTGGGTTATATATTTATTTGCTTTCGTAATAAAGATTTATCCTTTCTTAAATTTATGCAATCAAAAAATTAACTGGAGGTTTGGGGTTGTGCGAAACTAACTACAATCAGGTTAAATGATTATTGTAATAAAATTTGCTATTCTTAATATGCCGTATCAATAAATCGTTTTGGTAATACAAGAAGTTATGGTTCGAATAGTATGCTTTAACCGCAACTTTATCCTTTTAACGTGATCTAATGGTGTCACTTATCATGATATAAAATACCTACACATCATAATCCATAACATCATAAAGTTTTTTAAATGTAACTTAGAAGAATTTGCTTAACTTGTATGAAAGATTATTTCACTGTTTAACAGTTACTGCGACTTCTTCTTCAGATAAATAATATTGCTTGAATGTATTCTTTCCAAATATTCTTTTCTATAGATTACATATTTCGTACTGCTTGATTGATATTTCATTATATTTCTGTACCCTTTTTAAAATTTTGTCGTTTTAACATGTCGTTTTAGTTGGGAACAACTATCAAAGTACAGGGTGATTCTAAATTATTGTTACACTTTTGAAACTCTATTTATGACAAACTATAAACCTATTATCACGGAGTGAGAAACAATTGAAAGAGAAGATTGTAAAGTTTTGTACGACACCACCATAGTTGCAAAATCAGCCTCTACATACTTTTTTTAATTTTAACTACGATTTTATAGTAATTAATAACACACATTATCTTTCCAAATCTCAAAACTACATACTCTATGTTTAATTGTCAAAAGTTTTCGTTAATACTGCTGGGTATCAATTAGTTCTATAATTTACCGTTTATTATTGTTGTCCTCCATTATTGTAAGCTTTTCAACCTTCAAAATTCAAAAAGTGTTCTGTAGGGTTTGGGAGGACTTCAATCATCGAATGTATTTGTGCTGTGAAGCCAGAGTTTTATGGATTTTAAATTGTGTAATTAATTTAAACCCGTAGTTAAAATATAAAAATGTCTGTAAAGGCTACTTTTGCTTCTATTTTTTAACAAAGTTGTGTCAAACTAAACTTTAGAATCTCCTCTTTCAATTGTTTCTCACCCCGCGATGATAGGTTGCATGGTTTTTAATAGATACAGTTTTAAAAGAGTAACAATAATTTAGACTCACTATTGAAGATAAATTTTTGATACGGATGAATTGTATAAATTTTATGATGACTTTCCTTGAATATTTAATTTTACCTAAACTTGTTTCTTAAAAATTCTTTCGTTGAAAGTGTAATAATTAATTTTGTATTCAATATGAGGTGTAGGATTTTATAATCAAAATAGAAGCATTATATTCATTGCATTAATGCATTTTATTCCAATTTATTTTAATATCAGTTCAAATAAAAATGGTACAAGGTTCACTCGAGTATTTAGCTTATTTGGTAAGAAAGGAATGCATATTTTCAAGCTTAAAAGTTTCTTAATTTATGAAAAAATGGGAATTCGAATGGATTAGACCACAGCGTACAACGTACTCCTAACAATTGTTTAGTGATGGATTTATATAAGTATTGCAAACTTTAAAATTATTTCAACCCCAAAAGTACATAAAAGGCATTAAATATTACCCAAAACGAACGAAGACTTGAAATTTATTTTACAGCAAAATTATATCATATTAAAACTTGATTTTTATATAACATTTTAAAATATTTTATAGTGTTTTTTTACTCACCAGGGACTGCATGTTGGTGTGTAGGGTTGCACTGTCGGTACAATGTAGTCAAGTAGTCACCAGAGCCCATATATACCTCCAGCCATGGTCAAGTGTAGGACCTTGGACCAAGCAAGGATTGAGAATCGATCCTTTCTTAAAAACCTGACTCAATTATTTTTGGTGTGGAACCGATAAACTAATTTGCAAGTTTTAATATGTGGGTTAAGGTCTGGTTAAATAGATTAATGCTGAAACTATAAGTGCCTGTGTTTTGAGATGGTGCCTATAGCTGTTTAGAATATGTTTGAGTATTTTATTTGAGTTTACCCTTGAGACTTTTTAAATAAAATTTAGCATCTTCCTCTAAAGAAGCTTTGAGATATGCCATCTTTACGTCCTGGATAATGAGAAGTTATAACAACTGTGAACGTGTAAGCCTCTTTTTACACTGAGAAATTTAGGCTAGCGTCATTTTAGTAACGACATTTAGCACGTCTGGGATGTTTAAGAACGCAAGCGTATTGATTTACAGTGAAACTAAAATGTTTCAGAAACTATTTAAGTACGAGATAATAGAGTGTATTTTTTTGTTTTTGGTTGTAAAAAGAGGTAGGCAAACTCATTAAACATCGAATTCCAGTGAATTTAGCAGCACACTGATCTAACCTTGACCCTATGGCGTATCAAAATGTTTACAGTTTGTTTCTATGGATGTCAAGTGTGGTTATGATATATCCCTAAAGTTGCAGGGTGATCAACTGGACTCGCCTATTTCGGCTCCTAGTTGCAGTTTGTAGCACAAATATTCTCTACCACAAAGGAATTCTCACTAACTCATGGTAGTAAATTATACTTTAATACTTTCTTATGAAATGGTGACCATACAAAGTAGGTTTTTTAAGTCAAGTATGAATGTAGGATGAATGGCACGATCTTGTAGTCTTGTTGTTGTGGACTAAGGCCGACATATTCCTTAATCCTTGGACATAGCTGCTAAAGCATACATCCTATGACAACTAAGGGACTTACAGTTTTCAGTGGAATCCAAACCAAATTTTTGCCGATTACCTAATCCATTTAATTATAGTCAACTGCCTTAGTACACTTAATTTCATTTAAATTAAATGAATTTTAGTTTTACGAAGATGTTAACAACTTTTATAGTAAATTACAAAATTTAAATATTTACTTTTGAGAAGGAAGGTGGCTTAGTTGACTTAAATTAAAAGTTAATGTAAATGAACTTGTTCCTAATAGATAAATTTTCTGGTTGTTTCTACAATAAATACGGATTTGTTTTGATTCAGAAAGGAAGACCAGTTACATTCCATTTAGATTTTACTGGAGCTTAACACTTTGAGATGTATAACATGATAACAAGTGTAATTGATGTAATTAAATATATCGCAATATTTACTGTTCAATGAATTATCGTTTCGACTTTTTAGTTATTATTGTAACGTGACCCGTTACACTCATGAGACCTCCATTTTATTTATCCTTCAGGAATGATAAAAACTGTAAGATTTTCGATCTATTTTGATTGTATTTAACTTTTGATGATTTCATCAAAGTTGATTCCCTGTACAGTCATATAATATTCTATATCCCTATATTAATTCTCTCAACAGGAAGTTAGACCATTACTTAGTAGAACATTGCTACGGGATATACAAGAAATTAAAGGGTTTACTATTTAGTTAAACATTTCACAAAATATTCTAAGAATTAATTACCGGTGAAAAGCGTTATCAAAATGTTATCAAACAATAAAACAACATTTTTTTCGGGTTAAAAGTAATTGACAAAGAATTAGAAACAAATACGGACAAAGGTTTGGTAAACTTGACTCATTGTGTATTGTATTTATAAACAACTATATTGAACTTCTTGAGGGAATTCGAAAATAAACATACACTCAATTAATTGTCACTTAATTTATTCAGTCATTTTCTCAATGTATCAAAGTCCGTGTTCGTGGTGGTGATGGAGAACATTTTCTTCGTGGTGTTCAAATAAATGAATAACGGGTACTTTGATTGGAATCTGATGGCCAAAATGAAGAATAAAATTCTGGTAAGACCTGGCTGGCTCATGGTGTTCTTTATGTCCTTTGTGCTGTTCAAAAATCAGTTCTTGGTGTTCAGATTCATGCTCTCCCAGTTTTTGGTGTTGAAACTCGGACTCGTTGACTTCAAAATGAGGTTGATAAGTTTGTTCATGAAGTTCTACTCTTGGTTCATGATGTTCAAAATGTCCATGTTCAAAATGGAACTCTCTTTCTACTTCTTGAGTCTCATGTTGCTCATGGTGTTCAGCGAACGCAATCGCTGCCAGCATTATGACAACCAAAACCTAGAATTAACAAAGTATTTATTATTACTAGTAAGTAGTGTGGTATACACGATATTACATTGGCCCAAGTAAAAACATATTTAATATAATATCAAATGTAAATGGTAAATAAAACATTGCAAGTTTCCTCAGTTAAATCTCTATTTATGTTTGAGGCATAATAATAAATTACCGAATACAAATTGGTGCCAAATATGTCAAAACTGTTGATTAATTATTTATTTAAATATGTTTGTTTTAAACAAAATAATTATGTCAGCGTAGGACTGTTCTTTGTTGATTGCGCGTACTTATATTTAGTTTAAATGCTTGTGCCGTATCTTTGAATTCATAGAATAATTTATGAAATTAATTTAATATGAAACAAATTTCAAAATTAATTCGACCTCTGGGATCAATATAAGATCAATAAACAATGGTACAAACAATTACTTACAGGAAGTAGTTCATTGTGGATCAAGTGTATTAATCCTATGTTTAGTTCATGCTGCGTATAGAATGGTAAATAGGTTGAACATTTGTGTATATTGTATAGAGTTTACAATCGTTTCATCAAAATACTTTCGAGGGAGTCATTGTTTCAAAACATATTTCTGTGTTAGCATTAAAATACCAATTAGGGCTAAGTATTTAAGTTATTTATTGTAACAGACTCGTTTTACAACGTTTTAGAAAAGAAGATAGCGAACAGTAATTGAGCTGCCTTTTTTATCCTGCTAAAAAGTATCAGTTTGTGAAAACTATTTGCTTACTACTTTATTTTGACTCATATCCAAATTATTCTGGGATAGTTGATTACTTACTGGTTTCATGATGATAAGTGTACAAGATGGAGAAGAGTGAACTACTGATCATTGTTGTGGGAGAAGCCATATATACATGTCTCGGCTACGGTTGGCTGGTATATCTTAGCCACTCGGAATTCCTAAATTAGTTTCAAATTGACACGAATATCATACGGAAATAATGCGCTTGTGTTTGCTATAGTTGTTATAACACATGAAGATATGAAATATGTGTGTATCAAATATGAAAATAACTAGCTGTTCAACGTCGGCTTTGTCCGACATAGATTTGCGTTTTATTACTACTACAGTACTATAGTACAATGAACCCGTTGAAACAGCGACTTCGCTAAAGGCTGAAATGACCGTTTGCATTAAATTTACGTTATTACATTATTAGAAGTTTTGGAAGAGACCGTGGCAAAAGGGTGCAACTTATCATTGCGGAGATAGAGTACTGTAGTCTGTTTTGTCATGAGCAAAATTTTAAACAAAATATCGCATCATCTTTTATGGTCTTGTCTAGGTCAAAATCTGTTTAACATTGGCTGAGTGGCTGAGTAGGCAGGTTTGCTATAATTTATCCCTGTATTAAATTGTATCGAAATCTGTAACTTTTTTTCTACAGTTTGGCTAATTGTAATAGCTAAATAATATGAAAGCAAAGTTTTAGGATAGAAAATGTCCAATGTTTTTTTTTTATATACGGATTTTATTCTGTATGTATTTATGAAGTGCGTAAACTGGAATTGCCTTGTTTTGAGGCGCAAACATGAGGAAAAAGTCAATTTTCACAGTTTTGACTTAAAACTAATTTTACTCAAAACCCGTTTTAGAAAGAAAAAAAAACTTAGATACTTTGTTGTTATAATTATAATGAAAGGATGTAGATAATTTGATTCCTCAATACCAATTTTCCATCAGATTTCAGATCCAGGCCTTGGTTCAGCTTATACAGACCAAAATACTCATACAAAGGCTTGCATAGTAGAATTTCACTGGAAATTGCCATCTTTCTCCCTAAGCCCTCCTTAAACTTCGAATGTTGTCTTATTTCACTTCTACACCATACACATGTACCCCCTATCCCAAACTTGGTCATCTAGTCGTATATTTTGTGAGATATAGTAATCATCTGGAAGTCAGTGGTATTTGCCTTTTATAAGTATAGAGAAAACTTAAATTTCAAACTCTTTTTCAAAATCATTACGGTGGTGTTAATATTTATGATTATTAAGTAGGCTATGCATCTTTTTCCATTAATAATCTATTTCAATAATAGTTTTGTAAATAGTATGCATAAATCTGAATTTAACATAGTAGTAAACGTCTTAAATTGTTTTTAAATATGTTATACGTGTATTCCAATTTTTAGATGTGTTAATTAAAGAATAAGGATAGTCCTCTTTTATTCGCATAATTCTTTTGACTAGTATTATCGAAACAAAAGCAAAGATTAGACCTATTCTTTTATAAATGTTTTTCAACTAAAGACAATGTTATTGGTAGTCCATGTTATTCCAATTTATGTAACGTTTTAAGGTTTATTATTTACTATTTTGACCGACCATTGAACACAGTATTGCAAATAAGTAACAAAATATTTATCCAACAAGGAAAAACTGTCTAAATTTCTTAAACATCAAAAACATTATTTATAACTATTAAACGAAACGAATCGAAAAAACACCTTCAAATTTTATGAATGGATTAAGCTAAAAACCGGCAATTCAAGACGCATTGCATCGTTTCACTTTCACTGTATTTTAATCTCGGTTATCAGAAGGGTCAGAGACCAACCAATTTATACTAAGCAACCAGTGGTGGAAGTACCCACATTATCTATTTTTTTGCAAAATATACATTTAATTTAGTACATTAGTTTACTTAATAAACCATATATTCAAAACGAGTGTAAAATTATTCGCCATTACATGAATTTAATATTTTCAGAGTATTAAACATATTGAATATTTATGCCTATTTTCCATATTTTGCATTGTCTCACACAAACTAGACTGAACAAAGTACCTTAGAATTTAGGACACTAGAAGGTATAGCAATTTTCTTATAAGATAGAACATAGTGAAATACACCGTTTATAGGGTATAGTTGAAATTATTAGTTTTAGGTACTTCGACAATCTATTTGACATTAAAATTCCGTAGTTAGGAGTAATTTAAATCTTCAGTTTACATAACAGTTTAGTTGTTACTGACTATCTCACTCTGATGATTGATCAATTCAACGCCGTTTTCATTCTTAAACTGGCTACAACTTGAAAATTGGATTTTGATGTATTCTAATCAAAATCTCCTAGCCAAAGCCACTACCAAAACGGTAGCGGTCGAACGACTCCTCGTTTCCAAGTTTACAACTGGTCCGAGCTCGTTTGCCAGTCGTCCAATCAGTCAATGTCGCTAATTTGGTTAAATTATAGTCGTAGTGTGGCGCCATTATGGCCTCATGTTAGTGGAAAATTTTACAGTTATCTATCAGTGAGGCTGTGGACGATGTTTGTGTTATATAAACAGTTTTTAACTAATCAAAATGCAAAACACAGGTGGGACGGGTTATATTAACCATTCAGATGGCAGCGTATGTTTTTTTGAATCTTGCACATAATATTTTCCAGCTTGAGTTGTGTGGCAGAAAGTACAAGATTTGAAAAAAAACACGAACAAAGAATGGGTGTTAGTTTAAATTTATTTGAACTGGATCTATTGTATGCACACTGTACAGTATTATGAGTTAACTACTCTGTTGGAATGGTCGGACTCGGACTGCAGGACTTAAGGTCTAGGATTAATACCTTATTAATTATTAATGCCATTTTGATATGGGACGAAACCACAACCAAGAAACTCCGCCTTAAAATGTATGTCACCTATCGAGTGAAGATGCAACTACTTTGCCGGTACTAGATATCTCACGCTACGAAACCTTTTCTATAAATACGTGTAAGGCCTATGTTTTCCCAAATTTAATTCATTAACCATTTAAGACAGCTAAGTTAGTAAAAAACATTCCTAATTGACTAATAATTAGGACAAGAGTTTACTTTTCATGATTTTTCAAATTAAATCTTACCTATTATGGTTCAACTTTTATTGTAATTTTGACTATGATTAGACCTATACGCACCATTCTTATGTTACAGTAGCTGTCACCTATTTTGTAATGAAAATGTATGTAGTTGAATTAAGCCACCGACAGAGTGTACTGATTTAAAAACTAATTCTTATACAGTAGAATATGCCACATTTGTACTAAGTTGTACCAAGTTTATGGGACAGAAACAAAATCCTGTACTACAAAAATGGCCAACGTCACAAATTTGGCCGACTGGTGATAGCATTTAAGAGTCGCATTTATTAATATATTTTCCATACATTTTACTGTATTTTAAGGTTCCACGATTCGTTGCTTAATTTAAACATTTATGGGGTGCCTTGTGTAGCTTTCTTACTGACTATGGCCATCTTATTGGTTGGTCAGTAAACGATTGAAATACCAAAGACAACGGACAAATGGTTCGATTTCGAATTATGTTTAAGCTAATGTACTTTTCTGATAGTTAAAGTGGTGTCACTCTGATTCGTAGAGTGGGTGTATAATGACCCATCTTGATCTATTAACCTCCAAGACCACTTCCACATTAAATAAGTTCTCGGTATCACCGGCAATTACGATGTTTTTCCCACGTCGTTGCAAGGAAGGTCTAGCATCACAGGAGGTGAAGTGATTCATTCTCGTCAGTTTATATGTATTTTGTGAGTTGTCCATAACGAGGTGGCAGTCCTTGTTCCTTTCGCTACTTGCCAATGTCGAGTCAACAAGTAGGTTAGGCGGGTAAAATATCTGTCGCGGATCAAACAATACCAGCACTACAAGTACAATAACTGTACTAACAGTACAATATTTTCTACGATTAGTGTACAACGATGTTTGTACAACGATCGTAAGACAAAAATCTTCCGTCCAATAGCTGTAACAGGTAAAGATCTCCTATCAATATTATACGAATGTGATTGCTGTACAATCATTGTACTACGAGTGAAATATTTTGTACAATCAGTGTAATACCAGTACAATACAAACACTATAATTCAAATAAGGTTCGATGCACAACCCTTGTACTAAGAATACAATCTTTGGTAAGATCAATGGGTAAGATAAGATAATGGAAAATAATCCGTAAAGTAACAGTGCTTTTAGTGCACTACATTGTACCTAGGTTAGGTGAAAGTACAATTGTTACTTAATTTTTTTAATATCTATGTATAATCTTCGACCACAGGAACAAGATATCTTATAATCACTGTAAAACGAGAACTATGTTTTTTTTATTATTTTTTTATCAATGCAACCTTATGAAATTGTCTGTAGCACACTATTGGCGTTTAAGGCTTGTAGGCCTACATAGATTTGATTGGTAGCATACTATTTACCTAGCAACAGGAATCATGAAATATCTATTTATCCATTCTTTCTATAATTAACAGGGGAAAATACACGCTATTAAGTGTGAAACTTAGTCCAAAAACTGTGGCAAAAGTAATCATTAATCGATCAAAAGTAGAACACCGTGGTTCAAACATGAACAACGATATCAAAATAGGCCCTAATATTACATTACTTCGTTAATCCCCGGTACATAATTTTCTTAAACAATAAATATCAACATCATATATTGATTGTGTCTTTATTAACTATTAAGGTAATCTCGTGTGCTGGCAATACACCATTCTTGACCTAATAAAATTAGTCTAACACACCACTACCATGTGACCTCATTATAGGAAGTAACGCCATGAATTAATTCACAACATGTAGTCAGTTAGCAGACCTTGTCGTTGTCGTTGCCTTCACATTTGTCGCAAATTACTGCTTCATCGGAAGACAACATTACCGTGATTGTCGCGCATTGGAATATTTCCGCGCCAAAATGACTGCTTGTCAACGAAATCAGCAGTGTTTAGGCGGGTGTCCTCACCTGTTGCAACTATAATTGATACTCCGTGTCGATTATAGTATCAGATTAGGCCA